AGAGAGAGAGAGAGAGAGAGAGAGAGAAAGAGTAACAAATAATTGTTGATCTTACTTCGTTAAAGATTAAAAAAAAAAATATAGAAACTTACGATTGCTGGTTCCCAAATTCGACTTGTGTTCGTGGCTCATGTGTTATAGATGTATTCTGATTCTTATGACCCTGCATCATGGCAATTGCTGCAACAGAGTATTCCAAATAACCAGAGCTGACAACACACCAAAAGTATGTCATGTAATCTCAAACGCCGTAAACACAAACGTTCTACAAACCGGCTTAATATAAATTGATTCCCGGAATAGAGCGCGCCCTTTTATTTCCTTAGGAAGAAAAGATTCAGCATCATCGTTGTTCTGATCCTAGCCACGAAACTCCACCGCGTTACAAAATTTTACTAGACTTATCTCGGTGTAAAATTTTAATTTTCTGAGGCTTACCCCAGTCTTATAAAAGAAACTATTTGCCCGCCTAACCTAATTTCCTTCATACTTAAAAAGTAGGCGGAGTTATAAACTTAAAATTGCCCCCACCCCCTTTTCCCCCCCTTTCCACCTTTCTCACTCCTCCCTCCCTTTCTCTGATCTCTCCTTCCCGTAATGCTTCAGTGATCAAATTAAATACCCCCCCCCCCATCCCGTCCTCTTCCATCCATCCTCCTTTCCTCATATCGTTTTGGTAGTGTATGTATACACACGAACTTTGGTACTATGCCTGGGAGCGTTATTTTAAGATGACGGTTTTTGTGTTCGTTGAGAGTTGTGAGGTGTTATTCATGTTGTTTACGTAAGGTCCTTGGTTCTTGGCAAGCGTCCATAGCGATGGGGAAGTAATTCATGGCGGAGGACTCGTGAATCGGTTGATAACAATCAATGTCAACACCACAGTTGGATTAATCTCAATGCGTGAAGTGTGCAAAGCTTACGTCATGTTGCGATAAACTCTCAAGGGAGGATTTCAGCATTGTTTTTTTGTGTTTTGTTTTGTGTTTTTTTGTTTTTTTTGGTGTTATTTTGATACCTTCGGGTGGTATTCGAGAAAGACTGCATTTCACAACGGTTTTTCTATATTTAGAGTTGAGTTGTGCGGTAAATTTGGGCGCTTTGTTCTACAAAAGAAACAAGAGAACTGAGAAATTTGGTGTAGAAGGGGTTAGGTTTGGGTCTTTATGTGTGTGTGTGTGTTTGTGTGTGTGTGTGTTTGTGTGTGTGTGT